CGACCCAAATTCGAACGACTGCCCAATCGGTAAGTTATTACCGCCACCTATCGACAGGCTAAAGTAAATCTCTCGACTGGATTTATTTGGCTTATATATAAATGGAAGCTGATGTAGATAGAGTACAAATTTTCAATATACGGAGATCCCGAAAGAACACCAAAGTCGTAAATTTTGTTCAAGACCTATGATTTCGTTTACAATTGTGCAAATTTATTTCGGAGTACTACTCAACGTTTGTGAATTAATTAATTTGAGGTATAGAGATTGTGCACATTTATTTCAGACTAAAGTAGTACTTAACTTCTGCAAATTAATTTGTGTTTAGAGAGTTCCGTGGAAGCCAGTTTTTGAAATCCTTTATTCTATACATTTTACAATTGTTGAATAAACTTTGTCATTATGATTGCGGTTTCCGTTGATTGTTTACCGCCGAGAAACCAACTGATTAATAATTAACGAGCACGAGTATACATGTCATGTACATCTATATCCTAAAGAGCGTCCCCTAGTGTAGGTTGGTGTCCAGCCTGAGTGTTGATCATGTATTTCGACTAAACCGCTCTGTAAAGTATGTGTTGTTGAGTGTTTTTATTTATTAAAAACCCTACTGTTTAAAGTGTAGGGCCTGTATGAAACTTGACTTGTTCATCTCAAGAAGAAGAATGATGAGGGCCTAGCCCATGAAACAGTCGCATGGCTGATTTTTCTCGCTGCTTCGACAAACGATGGGTACCAGGAAAGTTGCCTTGTTGTAGTATTACAAACCGTTTCAGAGGGCCAAAATTATTGCCATATTGAGCATCATGGTGTATCTCTCAGACTTCTCAGTACTCTTGTCTTGAACTGGAAAGAACAACCTTGAAATCAAACCAATAATATTGTCGTTCATGATGATCATGTTACAGTGATTTTATAATGATCATAACGTTACAGTGTTCACGGTGTTTCACCTTCAAACTGAGCCCATCGTCGGAATCGAGGACATAGTTTGTCCTGAAAGATAATGACATTTGCATCCTGTTGGTAACAATAATTGCACGGGACAGATAATCGAAACATGACTCTCACAATACGAAACTTTTGGAGCCTCAATAGACCTATGAGAAAAATGCAGCGTGCTATTTGGGAATCAAACTTCGTTGAAATCCGAGTTACAAATTTGAAGTTGTTTCACCTTTAAATTGAGACCTTAGTCAAAATCCAGGACGTAATTGTGACATGAAAAGTGATGACACTACATCAATGCGGCTACAAAATCGCGCAGGACAAATCCAAGGTATAGGTGTCTCTCATATTACGCCGGTCGAATCTTATATTTAAGCAAGACGCAGCTTGCGATTTAACCATAAGAATTCTTCAAATTTCGAGTTGACTCCGGGAGCCGAAGTTTCAGCGAGCGCGCGATGGTGAGGTTTATCCCCGGTGCTCTGCCCACGGCAGGCAGGCCAGTCACGGTGATTGCTGTGGTCCTACTGACCAGCTTGATGTTTGTAACAACGGTGCAATCCCTCAACCCGTATGGAGCCCACGTGTGCACCAACTACGTCTAGTAAGTGAATTCACCATTGACACAATAAAGTCTTTTTAATAACAACTGATTTTTGATTCACGCAATCTTGAAGAGCGTGCCAATAGACCGTATTTGCGTTATGGTAGAGTCAGAGAGCAGTGGTTTTGTAACGCGCAACATGGGCATAAATAAAACTGTTGTGCATTCATTGTTACCAAATTGAAAAACAAAGAATTAAGAACCGGGTAGTGCTATGGGTGGAATATACTGTAACACCATGTAAACTGATGCATGTAAAGACTTCCAATGAATAGCCACTCTGAATTATTTCGAGTTAGATTATGTACATGGGTTCCGGGACTTGCAGTGTCTAGTTCATAATTTTATGGGGTAAGAAAGGGGGGGAAATCGGTATGTTGGACTCGCCCAAACGTGGGCTCACTTTTAATTGTTTTTTTTTTAACCACGAACATTGCGACGTACATTTTCTCAAAGATATTTTTCTATTCAGGCCTAGCAGAGGGAAATATAGATCGATTGCATTTAGCAGCCATCTTGGAAGTGTGTTTTGTTAAGTTTATTGTTAACAATAAATGCACATTAGGTCTGCTCATGCACACACCTCAAAGATGGCCAAAGTGCACACTATAGCTTCGTGTTATCGATAACTTGATTTCTACAATAATAAGATGACAGTTTTTCCTTCATCTTTCAGTTTCACCGAGACCTATGCTGTTCGAGAGCAAGTTGCGGACACGGTGGTGGATTGGGTCAGTGAATTCTGGTCCGATGATTCGTATTCATACAGTTAGTAAGTACTTTATCCAATCATCATCTTCAGGCGTAGTTTGTTACTTTTTCCACTCTGATGCGCGAAAAAAATTCATCAGATTGTCATTAATTTGGCGCTGTCCTGACAGTCCTGTTCGTTGTAGGAATACATGAAACGATAAACATGTCTTTTCTTCCTTGTTTTCAGTACAGTATATCGCTGGCAGTACTCGACCAGGACCCGAACTGCAAGCAGGCGTGTGTACATTTGCTGCCAGGGGTGGCAGGTCGACCCAACTTCGAACGACTGCCCGATCGGTAAGTCATTACCGCCACCTATCGACAGGCTAGAGTAAATCTCCCGACTTGATTTATTTGGCTTGTTTATAAATGGAAACTGATATAGATAGAATACAAATTGTCAATTCACAGAGATCCCGAAAGAGCATCAAAGTCGTACATTTCGTTCAAGACATATGATTTCGTTTACAATTGTGCAAATTTATTTCAGAGTACTATTGAACTTTTGTTAATTAATTAATTTGTGGTTGGAGAGCTCGGTGAACATCAAGGTAGTTTTTGAAGTTCTTTATTCTGTACATTTTACAAAAATTGTTCAATAAACTTTGTCAGTATGATTGTGGTTTCCTTTGACTTTTTACCGCGGTATGATACCCTATAATTCCGCGACGACAGCTGGTAAAAGTGGCTTCGATAACAAAGAAAAGAAGAATCAGCTTTGATTTCGAATTATGTCAAGGCCGTGTTGCTTTTCACACTACTGTTGGGTTGTTGTGCGAGCGCCCTCTATACAGGGTGTGCGGTGTAACACACAGCTGCAGTGGATTGATAACATTCTCTGCATGCAGATATCGTGTGTTAGGTATTATCCTGGCATTTAGTTTCATTTTTCATTCACATCCGTCTCATTGCAAATACATGTAACAAAGCAGTTTTTAGGGTTGTGGACGAGAGGTCTAAACACATAGTGGCGTAATAAGGGGGCATCGGGACACCAGCCCCCGGCCGCCATTCAAGCCCCCCCCCCCCCCCCCCCCCCGAGGAGCTCCGCTAAGAATTCGGGGAAGCCAAGGCCCTTCTCCCTTGCAAATTGGACCGCAGTCAGGCCACTGCTTAAACACCACAGACTCAGTTTTGTGTAGGCCTATGAGGTTGACTGTCTCTCCCGGACATCCTAAACCGGAGGGCCTACCTTTGTAAACCAAAGTAGCATATTAACTATTGATTTTCACTTCTCTGCAGATTACTATTTCAATAGCCTTGCATGTCTTATTTGGTTGATTTTTTGATAACATTAAACATGGAAGTTAATATCACATGTGTATGTAGTCCTGTTAACATCTTCGGGCGTCGCGTTCCGCAGTGCGCATGAGCGAGTGCGCACGCATGAGTTGGGACACACAACCGTTTGTTGTTCTTCACAGTCTAGTCCGACCTCCACCTTCTTTGCCTGTACACCAGCCTTGGTAATGGTACTCTGTTGCGTCTCGAGCATTGATCGGCCTTGTTAGGGACCCCCGCCCGCCTCCCCCCCCCCTCGACCGACCCACGGTCACAATGACCCTTCCATGACCCTGTACTACCATGCTCCGCCTTCCTCCATGGTACTACGAACAGTCCAACATTTCAGAACTAGTGTTCATCCATGTTTTTAAACCGGGACTGCAGAGAAAACGTCGATTGCAAAATAATACAATTGGATGATATTATAATAGAACCTTAATTTTTATACTATAATTATTTATGCCCCTTGTAACCTTTCTCGAATTGGTCTTCATTGTAGGCCTATGTACGGAACATTGTAGTTCAGATTTCTCCAATTTTTTCCTATGGTCGCAGTAAACTTTTAAACACATCTGACCATATTTTGTATTAATGACATACTGGGGGGAAATTATTAACTGCCAAATAAACTATCTCTAGGCCTAGTCAGGATATATGAAAAGTATCATTACGTGTCTCCTCATAATATGTAGACCTAGGCCTACATAACAATTGTACATGTACTGTCCCCCCCCCCACCCCAAACCATTCTGATTGTCTTTATTCACGCACGTTCGTGCAATAGACCTAAGACATGACGTCACGCTTTGTTTACAGGTGCGCTTTCCTGTATGGGAGCCAGGTGTGGGCGATTGGCTGGCGGCCCCACCTGCCTGCCATAGGAAAGCGCACATGTAAACAAAAACATGACGTCATTATGTCTCATATCGATTACAGGAAGTTTTATCACATGTCACTTTCAATCACACATGTTTCCTTTCTCTACAACACATGCGCATTTACAGCAGGTTCATCACAGTTTTCACTTCAATTAACCTATAACTTATATCGAAGGTCAATTTTTGATAATAAGTACTTGCTGAATTACAGCTTGGACACAAATGAAATAATTATCAGGACGTCTTAAACACCGTGACGATTATAGGGCCTATAGTTTGGAAAGCATCAGCGACGGATAAAGGCGAAATTCTATTCTCATTAAACACACTATAGGTGCAACGGACTTTACTTTTGGATGTTTGATATACTTTAAATTGACTTCCCTCATCTTCTTAAAATATCTGTCGTCGTGTATCAAAGTTTTACATGGCTTTGAAACTGCGATTCCGTTTAACCATTTTCTCGATCAACACACACACACACATACTGAAAATTCGAGGACGGCCATTTCATTCGATACTTTGGCCGGGGGCGTGGCTTCTGTACACAAGAAGCTAATTGGCCGTAAAGAGTCAGTCAACACCGCCAAATATCGATAGTGATACCGAGCCGGAAATGCGGACACGGGCATCGTCCGATAAACTGGGTGGACAGAGATACTGTGTCGGACCTGTAAACCGCAGGTTTGTACCTCGATTGACTGAATTCGCGTTGGCCTGTAAACAGAACTTTACAGCTATATCACCATGTTTGCAATGAGAATCGTCTTCGGTCTTCTAGCCTCCATCTCCTGCTTTGTGTCTCCAAGTTGGTGTCTGTCCCTCAGCGATGAAAACACCTGTGAACACTCTGAAACGTAAGAAACTCTGCCTCATTTTCTACCCTAATACAAATCTCTAAGGTGGTGTAGGCCTATACGAAGTTATATTGTTCAGTAATTTTTCTATAGTGGGTTGAAAATCAAGGTTAGGCTTATGCCAAAGAATGGAAAGTTTGCGGCAACCCATGTGAATATCTCTTTTGAGTTGTGTGGTTCTGAGAAGAAGCAGTTGTTTTTAACTCGACGTTTCGAACAGTGTGCTCTGTTCGTCATCAGGTTGTGTCGTTGACTGGATTATTACGCTGTTGCACAGATAGACCTAACGACTAGTTCTTGGGGCAAGCAACGGGTGGAATCAAGTACAAGCAGAACTACCTAGAGAGATTTTTTTTAAAAGAATCCACGAACTACATAGTACATAGAGATTACTTCATTTTATTATTAACTGAGCTAAACATGACCTTTTTTCCCCTTCGCGTTTAGGTATACAGTTAGTTATTCAGGCACCAGAGCTCTAAGCAGACAAAGTTCCGACAGGACTTCATGCGGACTGTTTGGCTGGTCAAGATGCGTAAGATATATGTAAGTATTATTCAAGAGTTCTCGAACTGAGTGTTCATTTTATTTTACACTTAAGATTCTGATCCAGAGGGAGCTATAAGACGCAAGTGTAAGGCCGAACACCTCTCCCTATACTTTTCTTGCAATTTAACGAATGATAAATTCTCTTGCAATTTTAATGAATGATGTTTTTCTCCTCGTATATATTTTGATCAAAAAGTTGAACAAAGAAATTGACTCAGAGCGGACTTGGATCCTGCAAACGCCGTATACACGTTCGATCAGCAGGAATTAGTTTGGCAAACAGTTGGACAATTCAAGTTGTTACCTCGTGACACACTTTGAGGATCAGACTCGCTGGAATGTCAGACCCGAAATAAGAATCTGTCCATTTTCTTTTATTATAAGCTCACTCATTCTTCCAACGTACAGAGCGACCTTGAAAAACGAAAAATTATGACTTTTACCAGCACTCCGGCAGCTGATGGCATAATTACCACAAAATGATGACCACATTAACACGTACAGACTATTATCCAGTTTGTACAAACGGCTCTCGTCTACATCTAAACGAGCCTTAATGCAATTTGAAGATCTTAGGCCAGCTATAAAACGTCTTATCGTTCTCTCTCGCGAGCAATAATTTCTTTGGCTAAGACAGTTTTGCTGGTAAATAAGATTATTCAGTAACCCTTGCGATTTGGTGGCAGACGTCGTTGCCATTTCAAATTCCAAAATTTAATACCTTCCACAATTAAAAAAATATATATAATGTCACTGAAATTGGTACTTTGACACAAAATTATACAATCAGAATGTTGACATTAAGAATCATAACTTGCGAGCTCTACTTTAATTGTGTAGGTTATGTTCTTTGTGTTGAGACTTTTTTGGTGGGATTGTGACTTTTTGAGTCTAGATAATTTAGAAATCAAGTATTTTGGGCGACAAAATATACAGGACCGGCCACTGCAGTGGTTATTTAGTCCAGTAAATAAAAGCAACTATACCTTTTCGTTGTGTTAAGCTTGGCAAGCTTCGGTTCGGTTACATCGCGAAGCAGACACCTTCAAAGTACTCGGACGAAAGGGTCTTTGTATGGAAAAGTTATACAGACTTGCTGTTGTTGTTCCAATAGCGAATCTGTGCAAAGGGTGAAATGATCCTCTCATGAAATAGAATCTTTTTCAGGAAATAACAATCATACAGGGTGAGTCAATAAAAAAAGAAAACCAAATGCCGCCCTCCATTTTTTAGCTCAAGGTAGGATGTAACAAAATTTTAAAACTGCGTTTGTGTTCGAAATTTCATTACTCAAAAAGTAAATCAGCGATTTGAATGATTCTTGTACTGAAAGAAAGCTTATGAATTGGGCTTTCACATCCTATATCTGGAAAGCGCTACATGCAGAATTTCTTTACAAAATAGGGGCACAATTTTGGTTTCCCTTTTTGTTTTTACTCGCCTGTATAACATAAACAAATAACTGTTCTTACTGTTTCACACGTCAAAAACATGCTCGTGTGCATGCTTCATCTCAAGTTACGTCCATCTGTAGATTTGTGTCTTTAAATTATTTTGGAATCTTTATTTGAGATGGAGTTCTATGCTTTGTGCTTTGAGTCATCGTGTGAAATGTTTAAAAGAAAATGCTTAAAAACAAATTTTCTATGATTCGGTATGTCTTAAGGGAAACAATTCAAACTTTACGAGTAGCACTTTTTTTTTTAAACAAGCAAGAAAATGAGCTGAATATTTTAGGGCCCGAGCTAGTAATACTATCAAACTAAATCCGTTTCATGAACCCAGCTTTTGGCCTTGAAATTAATAGTCTCTCCGTATCTGGAGCTGCTCCAAGATTCTATTGAGTGAGATGATGTCCCTCTGGAACCAGAATGGCAAAGGTGGACATATAAATCCTTATAAGCCGCCATAATATGATTGTGTTAGCTGACAGGGGATAGCTATCACTATACCTGGAATGGTTTTGCTTTGTTTTCAAGGAAAGGCCGTTTGACTTCTTAATGATAAAAATACACTTGCGATCTCCGCGGGTGGCACCACATATCACTCCGCGCCTTTGATTTCATTTTTTGGTTGAGTTCAATATCGATAACCACATTTTCGTCCGGAGGACCAAACTCCACGGACACCCACAAATCATCAAACACACCCACTCACTGTTGTGTTCCTTTTCTGAGTCTTTTGTTTCCTTGTTTACATCTTTCTTTGCAGGACGACATATTATACAGGGTACACGACGAACTATCGCACCGCCACGCGGTCAGTAGCGCGATGTTGCCCGGGCTGGACCTCACGCGGAAGTGATGATTGTTTACTCCGTAAGTCATTTCCGCTGCCCAACTTCGAATGCACTTTTTTGTTTTGCAGGATACTGATGCACAACTTTCTAGTTGAACACCGTTTTGAATAAACTTTCCTACAAACTGTTATAATCCATATGCATTGCTAGTACTACTTCTTTCGTCACAGCTTACGGCTACGTCGGATTTGGCTGCATTGCGACTGCGGCTTTGCTAGGATATTTACGCGGTACTTTAGAAAATATTTTGTAGCCGTTGACGAAACGACAATTTCGGCAGAGCCTTAAAAAATATTGATGTACTTTCGGACACGATAGGAATATATAGAGGGTGCTAAATTGATAGACAATAGAGGGCGCACCAAAGAAGCACTGTTTTGGCCTACTGGAGCAAAATAGCTTGTTTACAATACATCCGTTTTCTTGAAACAAAAGATGTTTCCGTTTGCGAAATAAATGGGATTTATGGCAGAGTTAGTACAGGAAATAGAACAAGACATTTTACGCCTACACACGAAAAGACAGGTCACGTCCTGTTTCATGGAACAGCCGTATAATGCGGAAAACTTCCATCGGCCTGATAACTCGTTATATGTATCACTACGCGTCGTCTTTGTTTACGCCCAAATTACTGGGAGCAGCTTGTGTATTGAAAATTCCTTGCTTTCATGATTTTCTAACATTAGGTTGACGAGTTTCCTGAGGTAGAAACTTTCATTGTAAATGTCTCTTGTTTCGTGTTAAACAATTGTAAAATAATTTTAGTATAATGAGCTTCGTATGCCTTGCCGTGAGTTTGTCTGTAACAAGACACGCTACACGGTGACAGTCTTGTGAACGACTTCAGGATGTCGTGTTGCAAACATTATATCCTTAATGGGTTTTTTTTATTGCGACTTCCTAAACATTAACAGTAATTACTTTCGATTGGTTGAACAGGATTGAAGTTCAAAGGCCACGTCTCTACATCTTGTGCTATATCAGATTAGAGTGACTGTTTGCACAGGCGCCTTTGAAAGTTCCATTGCGTAACAGTTCATATATCTGGGACCTTCTTTTCATGGACTTATGATACGTAGTTGGACCAATCTTTAGGCCTAGTGCTTTAGTCTTAACAAACACGAGATCGTATCAAAGACGTGAACCCTTTTCTTGGCTGCTTGATTTCGCCGATCGCTGTCTGATTTTGTAACCATCTGAAAGGCGGCAATGTTTTACGGACATCTTGTCGTCATCTTGTGCTGTTTTCTTCCAACGCCAAGCTGGGGTCTTACCTTGTCTGATGAGAATGCATGTTCGCGCCTGGAAACGTAAGTAGTCTAACGCTTTTGTAAAAACTTCTTCACAGGTGTAAATTTTCAACAAAATTGTAGCCTTCGTGTAGCAGCGTCGATGTCGGGAAGCCCCCTCTCTGATCTCAGGCCCCCAAATGAAGGCCTAAGAAAACCGTGGTTCGGGAATGCTTACTTGATTACGCCTAATGTCTCGAACAAGAACTTTGTTTAAAACCTCAGGCCCTCCCGTCTGATTTCTGAATGTGTCGTTTTCCTCCTCATTTTTAAGGCTTGCAACATTCAGCAGAGAATGGTTTATACTAGGCCTAGTATACTGATTTCCTGCAAGGATTCTGAGCGACCATTTTTGTATGGTGTCTGGGTGGTTCTCGAGGTTGGGGCCCGCTTCCCAAGACGGAGGGCGGGGTCCTTTTTTCACCTTGAACAAAATCTTTTCACCAAACAAAATCTCAAAATCGCTCTTACACGTTTTCTTGATAATTACACCCTTTAAAGCAAATTCGTCTGTGTTTACAGCAGCATGAATAATTATACAATTGTGTTTTGTTTCCAGATCCGAGGTGACGTACAATGTGACATTTGCTGTTAGTGAAAGACAACCCTTCCAACGCTGTAATAAGAAAGGGCGAAGATGCCGTACAAAGTATCGGTGAGTTTAATGTTCAATCTTTCACACCCTTATGCATGTACGCGAGAGGGCGCCCTATTAAACTAGTATCTTTCTGAGGTACTTTCGGTGAATAAACAATTGGTCATCAATTTCGTTCATAGTTATCTCTTTAAATAAATGGTTTCTCTTACAATTCTGAAAGACTTTTCCCCTGTTTTCAATTTTGATAGCACCGTATACACAACCAGTTATCGACAGCAGTCAAAGCTGATAAGTGAAACAGTCGTTGAATGCTGCGAGGGATGGGAATACCAGACAACAACCGACGACTGTCTCCTGCGTAAGTCCAGAAAGCCTTGCATTTGAGGTCTAGACGTGAAACGGTTGTCCAACTTCAGAAAAAAATTGTGATATCGAGAATTAACAACAATACACGATTCTTGTGGGGGAGTGTGTCCTAGTGGTTAGGGTTGGTGGCTCATGATCAGAGGGTTATGGGTTCGAATCCAGCCGCTGGCCATATGTTGTGTCCTTGGGCAAGCCACTTCATCCCCACTTGCCTCTCTCCACCCAGGAGTATAAATGGGTACCGGCACTAGCTAGGGTAACCTGTGATGGACTAGCATCCCATCCAGGGGGAATAGAAATATTCTCAGTTGTTTCATGCTACTGAAACCAGAGATAAACGCCGGCCCGATGGCCCATCGTGACAGACTTTACCTACACGATTCTAGCTTGTGGTGCACGTGGTATGCATGTAGCTGTGATCAACTTGTAATCGGATGTAGGTCAAGCTGTTTTATTGCAATCAAACCGGAAGCAAAGTTATTGCTATATCAAATGGCGGGACAGAAATTGCAAGTCGTGAACTTAAACCTGTGTACATATTTGTTTTTTAGGAAATATCAATACGCCCTGCCAGAAAATAGAACAACTTTGTTTTGGGGTTTTGTTTTTGTAAATCGCAAGTGACATGAAGTGTTGACGCAATTCGTAGCATTTGTTTTTAATAAAGTAGTTTTAAAATGGGTATTTTAGAAAACTAATCAGGCCTATACATTTGCTTTAAGTTTTTGTTTTCGTATATTATTACACTATTTTTAGTTGGAACGGATGTGAGAGAGCAACAGCCCAATATTAAATAGCTGGCCTACTTTGCCGGTTGTTGCATGAAGCCATCAAAATGTACTTGTGCATGTTAGTCCCATGCATCTCCAACTCAACTATATTTTCATAAAACATTTCAATGTTTCAACAAAAGCTTTGGCTTGTTTTCGCACCTTTTTTTCGGTTGGAGATTTATTGTTTTATAGTTAAGATTTGGGAACATTTTCCCCGGTCATTATGAGAGTTTGTTGGTGCTTGTCATCGAATTCGGATCAGGAACGAAATTTCTTGTCGCAAAAGTTCTGCCCCGACGCGGGCAGACACACGAACTTTAGAAGTGTCTGACTCCAACGGAGAACTCGAACTTTTGACCATGTTCGTCTCGCACATCTTGGCCGTCTGTTGCTGTCTTCTGCCCGCAACCTCTCGGGCTGTGACTCGGCTGGATGAGAACACGTGTTCACGCCAACAGATGTAAGTCGTAGATCCCTTGTCATTTAATTTGAAAATATTAGCGTGCATGTTATTCAGACTTCACATATTTCAAACAAAGTTAAGTGGGAACCAAAAAGATAAGTTCAAACTGTGAATTTGTTACTTTCTTATACTTCTACACTTGTAACCTTGTTTTCAGCAAGTTATAATATTTTGCAAGTTTTAGTGAAACAAAAATATTCAAAGAGGTGGTTGTTTTTAAATGCTATACATACTCCTGTCATGCTTTAAAGATAAGTATACATTTTGTTTGTACTCCTGCGCTTCATTGAGTTTCGAAAAATAGAAAATAATTTTGTGGAAATAATATGGTACTTCAAACATAATTATATAGGGCCGACACAGAATCTGAAGTGGCGGTGTTTGCAAAAACCTATAGCTATTTCTCCGCACTATATTAATTTCACGTTTAAGTTGTCAATTATTCTTTATAACGAAAGATATTTTCTCAAGTTAAATAAATTGTTGACCGCATGTCAATTGGATTTTCGAATTATCGTGACAATTTCGGTACATCTTTTCACTCCCGCAGACAAATTGTGACGTACCAGAGTACTGTTTCTGTTCTCATAAGGACATTCTACACGAGGCGATGTGGGCATGGCGGATATTCATATTGCAGAAGGGTCCGGTAAGTTCGATTATCTTTGTCAAATAAAAAATAAAAACGGTCAATGAAAACGGTGGAAAAATGCTTCAAGACAGCAAACAATGTTTACTCCACCCTAACCTCGCCTAAGGCTACAATATACTACCGAGTAGTAGTATGTATTTCTTTCCATGCACGTGTGCACAACACATGTCATGTCATGAAGTATTCTGTAGTATTTGGTCCTTGACCCCTAAACAGTGGCGTAGCCAGGAATTTTTCAGTGGGGGCGCTTGGGGGGGGGGGGGGGGCTGGAACATTTCATGGGGGGGGGGCGTCATGTAGATTAATGAATCTTTTTTTAGAAACTCAAAATCTCAGTGGGGGGGGGGGGCGACTGGGGGGGCGACAAGGTTTCATGGGGGGGCTGTCGCCCCCACGCGCCCCCCCCCCCCCCCCCGTGGCTACGCCACTGCCCCTAAAGAGCCCTAAGTAAAAATGACAGAAAATAGGCTGCATATCCCCACTTAGCTTACCCTTTGTGTCCTACTTTTAAGACAAAGTTGAGCAAAAATTATGAAGGAATGTTTTCATCATTAGTTTTTAGGAACTCAATAGAAATCTCCTCGCTGTACGGATCAGGTACTCCTTGTCAAAAGTGCATATGAACAGTACAAAATTAGTTCTTCAAAATTACCCACAAAAAAATGTTTGGAAGAAATAGTGGCTACTATTATTGTCCAAACAAGCTGTTTAACATGATAAACAAGTACAAAGTGGAACTTACTCCGAGAAAATGAAGTAAAGTTTGATATATATATTTGTACACAAAGCTATAGAGACACTACGGATCTGCCTTGAATGACATCACGCTTTGGCTCATGAATATGGAAATTTTCATCAGCATTAAAACTAAAGTGTTG